CAGTCCAGGAGGGCATGGGTGCGTTTTCTCCTATTTCTTTATTCTACCATTATCTTAATCTTCGCGCCTCTCCCTAGGATCTAGAGAATAAAAATATGCGATGTTTAGTCGTTTGTGCATTTAACCCTTTAATGATTTCTAGGAAATGTGACTGGAGTACTATTTGTTAACTGGTGAGCGTGTCTCGCTGTTCATTAAAATGTCCGATATCTAGGTTTTCTTCGCTGACGCCAACGACCTGCTGCTTTTATTAATGCTAGCGGCTTTCAAGTTGACATTACAGGGGGATCCTGCGGAGTAGACGAGGTCTTTTTTGAGAGGCGCTTTATTTTGAAAATACAATTCGAAAATTTTCAGCAAAAAATCTTATCGATTCACAGTGAGTAAAATTATGCGCACAAATCACCTACCACCGGAAGATCATAAACAATGCATAATGGTCGAACGCTGCAATTGCCAACACCGTGACAAATGGTCCTTGAAGGAGGCGCAAAATTTAGGCAAAACTGGACTCCCTTCAAAAAGATGCTAGCGTCGTGCGCAGATGACCTCATTGCTGTAGTTCGAATAAACAAGGAGGGGTAAAATCGTTGTATAATGGGCATGGTAGGCCCACCGATGTATATATGAGAAATTTGCATGCGAATGAAGAGCAGAAAAGTGGCGGTCCAGTTTTAAAAGTGCGCATGGCTGCCGATGAGATGCTACCGTAATACAAGCGAACATGCGAGTCCCAGGAAGTAATTGAAAGCGATCTAGTCGTCTTCTTCTCAATGCTATCGTACGTTTGCATTCGCTTGGACATTAGTGTGTCATTAACGGCACTGGCCAGTCATTGCGCTCTTGTCTGCGCACACTACACATGTGCGTTGATCCCCTACTACGTGTGAACCATCGCTCGTTATCCGGGATCCCACAGCGCCGAGGGCTGTGCGGGGATCCGATTAAACTTAGCCCGCATTTCGGAGGATGGGTTTGTTCCACCAATTAGCGACTGATAGTCCAGCACGCAGTCCTTCTAGGTTTGTATGTCATGCTAATACTACTCTGACCCTCGTTGACGAACGTTCACCCCTGCCTTCTCACCCTCGCTGATGAATGTTCACCCCCTTACGAACGTTCACTAACCGCCTATATTACTCTGACCATTCTTTATCTCTTTTCAGATCTTATACGTCAATTTTAAGATTCATAAAGTCCAACTGTGGGGTACTCGATGATTCTGACTTCTCGTCTGTTTGGCTCGTACTTACTGCGTCTCGCCACTCTATTCTGATCACGACACTCTCCTACCCTAACATTATTTCTTTCCTTTATGTGACAGTCCAAGGCGGTCCTCTTCTCGTCGTCGACTAGAATTGACCGCACTAGACTCCGGAGAGGAACAGGCATATGCGCCCTATGCGAGACTTCCGAGAGACATGGGTGACAATCGTCTCGGTTATTCCACTGGCACCGGTCTGGATCAGCTAGCCATCGAGGAATTGGCTCGTAGTGTAACCAACCTCAAGTCAGACATTGAACGGCTGACGCTTCAGCAGCAATCCCTCATGGACTCAACGATGACACCACGAGGCCTAGAGCCACCAATCGAGGGCGAGGATGGTCAGGAGGTCGTGATGACAAGCCGACGACCACGACCACCTCAAACTCTGCAGTCC